GTGCTGATTGGCCACCCATCAGCCTATGACAGTCCCCCTTGCCATATACCCGGCCGTTTCCACAAGCCTCCTCACATGTGCTGTCTATCGTACTCAGTACACGTCCTATTTCCAATTAGCCTTCTGTTTTGCATACATAACAGAGGAGAGATTCGGCAGTTGTTCTTGGGAGGCTAAATAATCCGTAAACAGCAAGGAATTTGAGGCGTTGTGAGTAACTGTTCCTTATCATTGTCCAGACGGATTTATATTCAAAGTAATGGTGTTAGCCCGTTCAAAGGCCAAAATTCCCGTCCTTACATATACGACTACCCCACCGCCTTGTCTATTTTGACGGTCTCTCAGAAAAAGCTGGTATACTTGAATCGAAATCTCGGCATCCGCGAGTTCATGTTTGAGCCATGTTTCAGTTATGGCAACGACATCGATGTTTCATTCTGATACTAACGCCCCGAGTTCGTCGATTTTCAAAACGAAAATTTCAGCGTTTGTACACAAATATCTCAATTTTGCTTGAGTAACACTGAAATGGAGGCGTCTGTCCATTTCGTAGGGTTAAATGAAAAAAAAACTTGTCGGTGCTGATTGAGATCGATTGGTGTTCATTAAGCTTCCTCTAGGTAAATGTCCTCTGGACATGCACTACTTCCCCGTCTAGTATTTCGGGATTGATTTCGTTCGCCCACGCCGAACCACCTGAGGGCTTCCACTTTGAACTCTCTCAATACCTTTCTATCCGCAGATGAAAAATTCTGTTGAAAACTATTGGCTGGGCATTTTGGAGTGCGGATATCCTGCTCGGCAGTGGCCGCGCATGTTGCTCATTTTTGAGACAATTTTGGCGGTCTTGGTCGGCCTGACTCATGCTTTGAGTCCTTTATTCAGCCCATCCCGAAAGCTTTTAACCCGGCGAATTTATCCTCTTGTTTCAAGAGGGATTTATGATACTGCTGGGATATTTCCATATCAGGATGTATTCTGTCCTATGAGATGTCGAAAGCAGACTTCGGCGTGTCACTTATGCCAGGGTGTTTATTGCGATAAACTCGAGGACCTTTTGATATATTCTTATGTGCAGTGACTTCACTACAGATATCCCGTCCGGTCACATTTCTCTCCCACCAAACACCGATTCTTTTTCATACTGGGCTCCATAGAGGTTCTGTTTTCTTTCTCCTCGGTTGGCACAGTCAAAAAGTCGTGTTTGCGCATGTTCGTTTTCTTTTTTGAATTTTATACGTCAGCGACATCCTCTGCTTCAGTAGGTGCTGAGGAAGATCTCTTAACTTGTCCATCTCCATTTTCGACTCTCTATCTCCATCTCTATTTCCGAGATTTTTTGAAAAATCAGAATCATGTCGTACAGGCTCTGACATCGTATCTGACATCCATCCAGCCTATTAAAGTCGTTGCCTGTTTGGCGGGAGGCGACTTGATAGCAAGGTATACAGAGTCGCAATATTTTTCACATTGAATAATGTTTATTCCTCCATTTATCTCAGTCCATGCGCCGCGCGATGGTAGTTTAGTTGTTAACTTGTAGATTACGTTACGGCGGTGTCGAGTTTCATTTTGGACTTGTGGTGGATTTCTTGAACGCTGCCTCGAAGACGTATTATCGACTCTCTCCATTTATTGAAAGGATGTGGAACGTCTTCATCGGCACGAGATGACGTTTTTTAACCAGAGTAACTGTATGCAATAAATGGCCGATTGACCATGTCTCTCGTATATTTTGAGAAGTTCGTCGGGCAGAAGACAGAGAAGCACCCAGGAAGGGATATGTTCTGTCTGATGAAATTCTGTTATGAATTTGTGAGTTTGAGTATACTGTTGGTTTAAATCCAATTCATACTAACGGCAGGCTGCAAGAGCGACTAGTGGACTGGAATTCCGGAGAAAGTTAATCGATCAAAAACCGAAAATTTCGAACCGAATTTCGAGACGCGTGCCTTAAGGGACTGGTAGTTGTAGTAAATGCCCTTAAAATGCATTGAGGTGTGACGTTTCACAACCTGGACTTCACTGCACTGGCGGACGTCTGCACTCTTACATTAGTGTGCTTATCCAGATTCCATCTGCCTTTTGGCCGTAGGAGCTCCTGGCTCTTATTTCCTACATCGAGGAGCGTAAATATACCATGCCTATCAGACAGGCTAGTATTGTTTTACAAGTGTTAAAATGATACTAACGAATGTGGCAAATCGGTAGCTAACGTTGCACTGTTTTTATATAATCGTTCACTAAACCTTTATTATAAGTTGTGGTGGCTTTCCACTTACATATACCAGAAAACTACTGCATTTATTGCCTCCTGGCTGACAATAAGTAGGCTGCATTATTTCAGGAAGAGCAGGTTGGATAGCCAGTTTACGATGGTCGAAGCAACAAGTAAACTCTCCAAGGCAAAATATCCACCGAGACTAAACCCTTAAGAGAGTCGGGTATTGTATTATCATGTGACTCTATAAACAATTACTCGAGTACCCGGAAGGGCACACTTATCGCACAGAAGAATGTTTGCAAAAAATCTCAGAACGATTAGGCAAACTTTTACAGTCGTTGCTTCGTGTCTATAATAAATACATCCGCTTATTACGTGGGGGACATCGAAAGATAAAAACAAAGAGGATGAGACAATGAAAAACTCCTTGGACAATTTTCGAAGGAAAAATACTGACCCAGCTTTGAAGAACTAGGCGTCTCGGTGGGATTCGGACCCACTAGAGCAAGGGGACGCCTCAAGTACAGCCAACACTCTAGCCGCCCGAGCTACAAGGCCCCTTACATTTATGAATAATCGTAAATGAATTCCATGTGACAGTTACCAACACATGCTGAGGGCCAGGCAGGGTTTCATTAAGACCCAAAAAGGTATTGTGTGGACTATGAACGCTCCGTGTCTTAACTGGTTACACGAAAGTATCCCCATTGGTGCTAAATAGAACCACTGATTTATCAAGATATGCATACGCTCACAGTATTAACATTAAACCTAGCCGTTTCGCAGGTAGATAGAATTTTCGTGCATCATAAAACATGTAAGATAGGCATAGAGAGAGTCTTCGAATTCATAGACCCGATTTCATTCAGCGAATCGACCGAATAGACTATTTCGGAAAGCTGCTTAAACTCCCAGATTGGGTTCTTAGTTTTAATACCGCATTTACATTCTGTAATTTCCTCTGAGGATCGTCCGGTACTAGACGCCGAAATTTCCGTCTCGGAATCTGTCCGATGAGGATAATAGTAAAATTGTTAGAAATTTAACGGAGACTCGACCGATCATGCATAAAAAGGAACATGGAGTAACCACTCATGTTTGTATTCACAACTTGTTGGCCTCCGTCCGATAGAGCTCATTGAAAATATTACCGGAAACAGTGTTAAAAACTGGCATTCCTAATGGGGCAGAGCCGGACCGGATGTGTAACTGCCAACGTATGCCGCATTGGAAATAGGGCGTCGGGATCCAGAGCGTTGTAGTTTTGGACTTTCATCAAACGGCAAGACTCACAGAAGCCTTGATCCATCTATAATGGAAGTGTGTGCGTATAATAGTCAAGACTGACGTCTTTTATCCATACACCCTAGCCCTAATTCCACCGAAGCAAAATGTAGTCCGTGAAAGCCGATTTTTTGGTTTTTGGGGCAAATGACAAGAATTTGGAGGGCCAAGGTTAAATTCATCACAATTATTGAAAACTCCGAACGCAAATTACATTCTGTCAGATGGTAACCAGTAAAATCATGGCCATAACTTCCCAAGATAAAAGTCAAGTGTAAGATCGTTGAATCACACCCAGATATTTTGACCATCATAATGTAAAATTGCATGTTGGCAGAAGTTTATTAAGCGGAAACCATTTTAACTTCTCTAAGACCTGCATATTTTCTCGAAAATGATAAAACAGTAGACTTGCGTTTTAAAGTCTATAGAAAAAGGTAATCTCCACGGTTAACGGCATGGGTAATTCGTTACTTCTGTTCTTCTTACAAACTGTGGTCTTGTTCATGTTGATCAGCTGTCTGTTAGAGACATACCTGTCACATGTTCCTCAACGTCCTTCTGAATTTCGGTCGAACACTAAAGTGCATTATTTCAGTTTCTCGCACATATGGGCTGTTCAGGAAAGAAGATAGTTGCTTAGTCGTACATGGTGTAAAACGAAATATCCCAAATACCGACAATGCTTTTCGGGTATTTTGAGGGGTTGTTTGAACCCGCTCGTGGGATTTGCAAACCTTCGAAAATTCACCGGATTAATCACCTTTCTGGAGAATGGGGACAGAAGTCGCTTCACAGCCTCCAGAGGCACCGGAAACTGAGCATAAGAAGGCAAAAGAGACAGTTGATGATGATCTAGTACGCTGACTTTATTTTAAAATTAACTTTGTTCAGAGTGAAGAGGACAAGCAACTGCAGGATGAACTAAATATGCTTCTGCAAAGGCTTGAGGAACCGAACACTGAATTGTATAAGCCGGCACTCGAGAGCCTCAAAACGCTTATTAAGTCGTCCACCACTTCAATGACATCTGTTCCCAAACCCCTGAAATTCCTCCGCCCACATTATGGCCGTATAAAAGCAGTATATGAGAAAATTCAGGATCCCCTCACCAAAGTATCTGCTTTGCTTTTATAATAGCCCTAGAGTTTTTGCGCCGAGGTAGTCTCTGTACTCGGAATGACGATGACCGATAATCCTGAGCTTAAACATGATACTCTAAAGTATCGTTTGCTTGGGCACCAAGATGAAATAGGTGCCTGGGGCCATGAATATATACGTCACTTAACAAACCAGATAGTCGAGTTGTGGGTCCAAAATGACCTATCCGGTTCAGCGGATGGTAGTGAAGGTACTGTTTGGCCTTGCCTTGACGTTTTAGGACTCTCTGAGAGTGCCCAAAAGGAAAGAGCAGATTACATTGGCCTTGTTGAACAAATAATTCCGTATTTGATGGAGCACAACGCGGAGTCGGAAGCAATTGACCTGTGCATTGAGATTGAACAGCTCCACTTTCTGGAAAAATATACCTCAAAGCTTAATTTCCAGCGCGTTTGTCTTTACCTCACCAGCTGCGTCTCTTATATTTCGGATCCGGACAATACCAAGGTAAACTTATTTAACGCGGTGCGACTGCGTTCAGGTTCTCCGATGCGCCGAAACCTTATACAGAAAGTTTGGTGATGTTGGGAACGCTATGCGCTGTGCTTTGCGTCTTAATGACTCAAACCTTGCACAATCGATTTTCAACGACGCTGCAGCACTACCAATTTCGAAAACGGGGGCTTCGGGCGTTGACGTCCGGCGGCAGTTAGCATATCTACTTGCAAAGCATCAATTCATCACACCTTATGATGAAGTCGTTGCCGACGAGGAAGAGGACCTGGCTGAAATGCTTGGTAATACTCGACTTTCGGAGCATTTTGTCGCCCTCGGCAGAGAGTTGGACATAATGGACCCCAAGGTACGTCAGCTATGTCGTTGCTCGCAGATTCGGTTCATGACGCCTACGTTTGCAGTCCAGTCAAAATTAATCCAAAGGAATAGAGGCTTCATTGAGTGACGTTCAGTTCCTTTTGCTGTGGCAACGTCTACCTGGTATTACGAGGAGGAACTGGAAAGAAAACAGTGTCGTGCTAACTACCGAGTGTGGCCCGCAAATAAATTAAGGATGCTCAATTAACCACGAGATTAGGAGTCCTATTCAGCGAGGCATAATTAGGTCTCTAGCTTCCACCATCCTGGATTCATTGCTGTTGGGTGTCATCCCGGCACAGACTCCATGACGGTCCTCCGTGCAGCTGGAAAGCTATGGCCCTCAAACATTTCATGATTTTGTGTGTCTCGATTCTTCGGCGGTCACCTTCATAGGCGGCCTTAATCTGTTTTTATTTTTTGCTACTTAAGATTGCACAATTTCAGCTCGTGTTCAGTGTTACATCTATCCTAATGTATACATGAAATTGCCTTCTGCCCCTAATGTTCGATTTAGATGGTCAGTACCTGCTTTCCACAACATTTTGCGTGAGATATTTCGTGAACTGGATAGAATATTTCCGCTGCGCTGCCTCTCAACTTAAGTGGCGCAGATCTCACTGTCAACTGGCATCTTTATCCATTAGCGATGAGAGAAGACAAGCCTGTCTGTTAATCTGACAGCCGAGCACACCCGCAGTTGAAAACTAGTAGAGCGGCCTTCCGTGAAGGTCAGCTGTGAACTTAAGAGATTTTTGCGTTTGGTGAATAACCAATCACGGACCAGCATCTGCTGTTATCAGGGCCCGGGGGACTGTGGCCTGACACACCAACTTTCCCATGGAATACCACAGTTTCCACTGAGATAACCTACTGATAAGACTGCAAATAACCGCCACTAGCTGTTTACTTGACACCACTACCTTGTTGTGGTTTCCAAGGCGCAAAAACGTGAGGTAGAAACTCGAAAAAAGCAATTAGGCCGGCCGAAGTACCCCTTGGCTATGGCAGATTATGGGCAATGCGAAAGCCCAACTAGAAAATGTGTTCTGCCACACGGAATTAAACGGCCGACCGCCCTGTTGTGCGCCTGGTGCTGAAGGTCAGCGGCGCAAGTCTTTAGCTGGAAGTTTACTCTCCCTCCATTGTCTGGTAGAATTAGAACATATTCTATTTACTTGAAGCATTGTAGACCATACCAATCTCCAATACGGTAACAAATCCAGACCGCTTTTGAGAATCTGTCTATGCAAAGAATTTCCGAAACCAATGTCCGAACACACAGTTGTCGTTCTTATTATAGCTCCCGTGGCAGCCGACACGCTCCGTAACCCTGCCCTAGTAGTGAGGTCAAAAAGTATGAAAACTGAACTACTCGACGGGGAACGGACTCGCAGCATTTTACTAATATGTGCTTCGTTCGTCTGTGGTCATGCTTGGTCCCACCAACCCTGATATAACAGATCACACGCTCACGCTTGACAACCTGCGACAGCGGGTCTTGAGAACTCGACTCACTCGCTTCAGCATCTACGACGACTAAATACCAAGGGTCCAACAACCACTTCCACTTCCTGACGGGCTTCGCTAGACCAAATTTTTTTAGTCTACTTTCGGCGCTTTCAAGTGCGGAGGTGGTGTCAGATCGAGAACGGTAGCACCGAACTCATGGGGCTGGCGCCAAAGAACGTACCCAAGGCGTTTCATTCAAGGCGATATCAGTGTACTTCACTTAAAGGATAGTTCCTAGGCAACTGGTCAAACACTTCTAGTTTTCGCTCATCTTCCACGCTCACAGTCCAACATTCACTGACCGAAAACACTCGAGTCTTTGACCCTGGAGATAACATTTCGGGTTCATAGACACATTCTAAGACTTGTGAGAACCCTGCAAGCGTCATCGATTCGGAAGACGGTGTTGTATTTGCTCTGTCGGCGTGTGAGCAACTTTACACAAGTATTGAAAACTTTGCATTTGTTCAGGCCGACGCCGGTTATATGCGAGAGGTGCCTTCTGGCCAGAAACTCAACCCAAAGGCACTATGGTCCTTGCAATGTTGACAGACAAGCCGACTGATCTGGCGATATCGTTAACTACACCACTACATGCTATAGGTCATCATAACTGAACGCCAGCAGGGTGCTACTGTCAGCGTGATCGTGGCCGTTCGGCTTACATCTTCTTACAAATTCGACATCATCAAAAACGCGTGTGGCTTTCAGGCATCTAATCAGCAATGTAGTTAAACAGGATAGGAGGCAGAATGAAGCCTTGTACGCAAGACGAAATACAACATGATTGAGCGGGATTTTCTTGAACCAGAACTATCATTTTCTGGAGCTGGCGGGCGAATTCTCGTTGCCGGACAGACGACAGCCGTAAAATTCTTACGCTGATCCAGTCATTACGGTGGCAGTGAGCGAATTGGCGGATTCACTCAGCTGCCTCTCGGAACGAGGTCTTCAAATCTGAACATTTGCCACTGCCTTCTCCCTAGGCTAGGACTGCAGACCGAGACCGGATTTCTGTCCCCAACATCTCAACTGCGCTGGCATGTCGTAGTTTGGCGACATCAAGACATCTTAGAGGGGACATTTTGAAGGTGGATTAGAGGCTAGGCTTGAACTATGCGAAGACAAGAATATGGCCTGGTCCGTAGTCGTTGCTACTTCTGACACCACGCGTCGATTTGTGATCTCCTTGAACTGACTATAACATAGTCATTTGAATACCAGGTCAGCAGATGTTTCTCGGCGATGCTTAAGGCCCGTGTTGGTGAAAGCCAGCCGGTTGTGGTCAGCGAGGCACAAGATTCTTCCACCATTGTTGCGCCGGGAAACAAGCTGTAAGGTAGTATTACGGGAAGTCACCAGGTCGAGCTCGACCATTCCAGCCACCGACGACAATCGCCAGATGAGGGCTGTGAACTTCTTCAACCAGTTATTACAGCAGTAAACGTCTTTTTGCCCTGCTGGTCGTCAGTTGATGTTGGCGGGTAGACAGGAACAAAAGAGGCTTTGGCGAAGGGTCCCCTTAGCCGCGCGTAAGTTAGTCGTTCACTGGCTGGTTCCCTCAAAAGCAGGGCATCATTTTCCCATTCGAAGAGGGTAATCATTACACTTTGTCTGTCAGAGGAGTCGTTCAGTCTTCTGTGCCAGAGAATGAAGTGGGAGTTAACATTCCTGGCTGTGGATTTTTCGAGGACCTGGAATGCAGATACGGACTTCAGGCGTCCACGTTGTGCTGATAAAGACCGCGCGCTGCCGGACTTAAAATAGCAGGGTCGAGGAACGTTGGCACATTCCGGCATCCTTTACCAGGGTCCATTCCCCATTGGGTAGTGCATCACGCATAATATTCGTCTCCATTACTGGACTGGGTTGTGGGCTGTGTCGGTCTTCGAGGACATCGCAGCATGTATTTACTTGCTGAAATGGCACATTGTCAAGTTTTTTAGATGTTCGAGTGCATCCGAATCTCCCAAAAGCGCCCTGATCGCTGGAGGTTGTCTCCCCAAGCGCTTTGCCTGAAGAACCTAACAACGAAGTAGGGTTAACAGGAAAGCTTGTTGAGTGACGGCTCATGTTCACCATGTCACAGTGGCGTCATCGGAAGATTTTTCACCAGACCCGAAAGCCTGAAGGCCATTCAGCCGTCCACCATCCATGCGTAAACCCATCTTTGCGGGCACCCGACATTTAATGGTCGAATGTGCTAACCTTATTCTGCTCTACTACCCAAAGTCCGATAGTGCGACATCTTCGCTAGTACAATGTCGATGTCACCCACCTTCCCAGGGCCTACATATCAGTCTTGAGTTCCTGCGAGAGCTGGTTTATCTATAATTGTCTCTGCTGCTCGCGTTGACACAGCAAAGTGATCATAATCCCAAAACGTACGAACTAGGTGTTGTTTACGTGGAGATCAATTAGTGACCGGTTAGAGTACCTACGACCCAAAGAACAATTTACTAAAGTGTCTGTCGTCTCCGTCTACTCACCAATATCGGTTGCGACGAGCGCAAGAAAGTAGCTTTTTACACACTATTGAAGGAACTGTTTAAAAACCCCCTCGCCATGGCCTCCAAGTTTATTGGGTCGGACAGTTCCGTGATCAGTTATCTAACTGATCGTTTTTGGCTAGGTCGTTGATGCGATAATGCTGAAGGATTGCTAAGCCTCGCCGAAATCGGGACCGACAATTGGCTTTCAATATGTGCGTCCAGCACCATTTCAAACACCGACTAACCCGATTTTGATTGGCCTTATAGGCACTCTGGCCAGCTGAAGGCTCCGTAGGTCTGTACATGACAGCATACCGATGCGTGATACCGAAACCAGCAACGCTCTCGGATGATACCATGTCCTTGTCCGTCCACATTTGGGTACTTATGTCTCATCCGTCCACCAAGTACTTCGTGCCAGACCTCCTAACGTCATATTCAACATAGCCGAACTTCCGAAAACAGAAACGTTGTCATATTCTGCAGTCCGAAATGAAGAAGGCAGTAGCCAGTGGTCATCTTGGTAGTCCTCGATCTGCACGGAAGTCGAGACAATTCTCAGATTCAAACAGCGGTGCCGCAATAATTAGATCACCTCAAGAACACTTATCTGTCCAGTCAGGTTGGGCTAGGTCCCTCCATTATCATTCCTTCGGACAATTGCGTCAAAGAGTACGGTCGGATTGAACCGATGTGAAAAATTCTAGGTAACACCCTCAAGCGCCAACAGAACTTCGATACTACCAATTTGTTTGCTAAGCCAGCGCTAGGTGCCCTGTGCAGTGACTGTTTGCAGTATGAATGGCGACCTTATCGCACATAATTTAGCCACGGTTGGATGCTAGTATCAGCACCTTCGTCGCCGTATCAATTTCTTTTTTGTGAACCACGCAGACTTCGTCTCGAATGAGACACTTCATCCCCCACCGCGACCTCGCGAGGATATCGAGATACACTCAAGAGATGTGGCCGAAGTAATTTAAACATATTCTTCTTGGTTCACCACACAAGCCAAATGTTTCTGCCATCAGTTAAACACCGCCGTCTTACTAGAGACAACGAAGGGCTGTGCTAAAAGCATGACTGCCTGCTGCCCGTCGGGGCCTTGAAGTGGTTTCTGGACATCCGATATCCGACCTTCGCCATTGGAGAAGACAGCCGGCCGAATTTGTAAGATCCACTACGACAGCTCGTCGACCAATGTCATTGAGGCTGACTAGATTCGGCGTGATCAGAACCGTATCAGTTAAAAGCATGGCGTTGAAGCCTCCTCCTCCCATACTCAGAGCCCAGACACTGGCCGTGTTCGCCACCGCCTTTTCCACCCATTGCCAGGCGAGCAGTCGCAGATGACGACATTCACGAGGTGGTCTCTTATGCATGGGCTGAGACATCTCCAACACCGTTATCCCTAGGTCTGCACAAAATAAATTAGCAAAATCTCAACACAAACGGTAATTATTCCTAATCGTATCATTATATTCGGACGAAGACGACAATTAGACCAAATATGTTGTTACTCAGTGGGCCAGTTTTTCCTTGAATGGTCTACTAATAGAAGTATGTGCGCTCAAATGACTTTTCTGTCTTCTGACTAATTATGATCAGAGTAAGGACACGCCCATCTTCGCGCCTAGTCATATAGCCGCGATGCTTCACAAGCACCTCTATTTTCACTGGTTTTACTGCTTCGATCTCAACATTATTGCGCACTGTCTTACACTTGTAGCTCCCCGAAGATGTGTATAAAACTCACCTTGAATCTACTCGGCCTGCGATGTCCGCCGCTATGCTGGACTCTGCTCGAACCAACTTGGCTGCCTCATATGTCAATGGCCTAATCAATTGTGGGTTCGGTAAAGAGAAACTTATTCAGGATGATGCAAAGGAGATCAATTGGATTACTAAACAAAAAGACCTTGGTACGTTCCCCACCCGTCCAGTGTACAGTCACATCTTCCTCACGGATACATTCCAAGAATCCACGAAGCCAGTACTGCAGTGTTTGAATATGTAGGCCCACGTGTTTGTTACCATAACATACCTACTTATCTAATTCAGGAGGAATTTCACGCCAGAGTTCATCCGTGGTATGGCGTTTTGGGTTGAAATCGGGATTTGGTCTGGCGTCCGGATTTTGCGGCCAGGGTTGAGTTTAGGGTTAGCGACAGGTTAAAAATTAGGGTTTAGGCAAACGGTTAGTATCAGAGTTAAGTTTACTTGCCGCACGCCGTCTTACTCAATCCAGCCTTCTTTGACCAACAACCTTGTTTTACCTGTTTTCTGCCCGTTTGTACGCCCTGACTCCCATCTTTTAAATTGCGCGACCTGCTCCGGCACCTTGAATAATAAAGCAAACATATGACGGAAATGCGAGTTTTCTCAATGCCTTCCACAGATTACGTTTATTGCCGCGTCTAGCTGACCTACGGATAAAACTAGTATGAACACTTTTCCCGCATCACGGGACTCACTGTGCACCATTTTCTCAGTGGGCTTGCACATTAGTTCCTTGCTTTGACAGCTTTCTGAGCATGCCGTCTAGGTGTCCTTTTTCGCTAACCCTCTTCACGTTACTCACCATTACCTCTTTTTTTCCTTTACAGGAAAAATGAGCACTGTAGCGACCCTTGGCTGGGTTCTGCTATGGGACGTCGACAGCGGTCTTTCCCAGATCGACAAATATCTCTATGCTGTAGATGATCACACGCAGGCAGGTGCGCTGCTGGGTTGTGGGGTGGTAAATTGCGGTGTGAAAAATGAGTGCGACCCCGCTCTGGCCCTGTTGAGCTGTTATGTGGAAAACTCAACCGATGTGCTCTCCCGTGCCGCCATAATCGGCCTGGGTGTTGCCTACGCAGGCTCCATGAAGCAGGAGGCCATTACTTGTCTCATTCCGGCCATTCTGGACACCTCCTCGACGCGCCTCCAGCATGCCTGCTTGGCTGCTCTGTCCACAGGCATGATAGCTGTCGGTTCTATGAACGACGAAGTCACGTCTACCATCATTCAGACCATGCTTGAAAGACCAGTCAGCCACTGGAACAATACATTCAGCAAGTTTATGGCCCTGGGTCTGGCACTGACATGCATGGGACGCCAAGAAGAGGTCGATGTCATCCTGGCCTCCCTGGAAGCAGTCTCCGAGCCGATGAAATCCATGGCACACATGATGTGCGACGTCTGTGCCTACGCTGGTAAGCGCGTGCTACTCCATTTTGCAAAGTTCTGCCTGGATAAGTAAAACATTCACTGGTTTCTAATTTTGTCTCTTAACTAAAGCATAACGTACCCAGTGTTCAAGAAAATCACGGCCTGCAGATGCGCAAAAGTTGGACGACCACCTATGCCCACCTTGGTAGAATTAACGTTGAAGCGCGTGAGTAGCCTAGCCAGTGTAAGCTTTGTAGCTTAATCATGCAACTCGTCTAATCTAGTATTTATTCGCTTGCCGAGTACATGGATATAGACTTGCGTTAGTTGCAGTTTTTCGCCGAATACTGCCAATCAAATCAAGTTTCCCATGCCCGATGAATCGAATAATGTCCACTGATGGGCTTCTAACCCAGTTATTTACCGTTTCGGCTGACATCCAGCTGCATATACTACATCTCTCGCCCAACGCTGCATAACTGCACAAAGCTCGTTGCATAAGTATTTAACAGACTTGATGACGTCATTATCTCCCCTTGCTCTTAGGGCTCACTGTTTATAAATGTTCCGAACCAAAAGTAAGATATGCCGTTTTTAAGTTGCTGTTTTTTTTCGACTGCCGGCATCCCGGAGTGCTTTAATTGTGCATGAAATTCTGTTCATCATCAACCCATATGGTCGGAAATTCCTGGACTCGTTTCATGTTCAGAAGCCATTGATCAGACGTTTGACAAGGAACCAAAAAGTCCCACTTGAATAAAGTAGAGCATGCCTCAGTACTTCCCTAAATTCTCACGCTTGCTCACCCTGCAGGTAGTGGGAATGTACTGAAGATTCAGAATCTCCTTCACATTCTTTCGGAGAAGTATGAAGAGAAGGACAAAATCGACAAGGCGAAGAATGCAGCAGAAAAGGCTAAGACCTCCAGAGAGAAGGATAAGAAGGAGTCTCGCCGGGGCGGCGCCCGCGGTCGTTCCCGCCGAAGCGGCCAGACCCCTGCCTCAGATGCCGGCGCGGAGGCTCACGCGGAGGAGACGACAGAGGCAGCCACGGCAGAGGGCAAGGAGACGAGCCAGACAGCCGAGACTGCCGAAAACACGCCAATGCAAGTCGACGAGCCAACTGAGGAGAACGCCTCCGGTTTTGAATTTCACGCCCATCAGGGCCTAGCCGTTTTGGGTGTTGCTATCATCGCGATGGGCGAGGAAATTGGCCAGGAGATGGCTTTCCGCATGTTTGGTCATCTGGTGAGTCCCGTCTAGGGCAAAAACCCTCTCAGGCTTTTCAGATTTTCCAAGCTGGAAATGGCTATTCCAGCCTCCCCTGTCTTCGTCAATAATAACATTTTCCAAACTGTCAGAAAAGGCATCATTTAGCCGGTTGATAGGAGCTCGAATTGTCCTCATGCACGTGCTGTGAAGAAATTGGACCTACAGTAAATGTGCTAACCCATGAAACGTTAACCGGAGTTCTGAAATGCGTTTTCGACTCCAAAGGATTACTTAAGTAGAGTTGTTATATTAATAATCGTGCAGCATAATCCCATAATAATTCAGTTACTTCAGGGTGTCGACTTTTGAATGAACTTCTTTTCGGGTGCCTGCCTCGGTAAAAAAAACGACTACTTAAGTGGCATGAAATTTTCTCACTGATTTTTGCCGCTCTTATAAATGGAAATATATTTCATGGAAAACATGCATAAAAATATTCACTCTTTTACTCATAGAAAATTACGTCTTCAAATTTTTGTGCTTAAAGGAAGGGTATAATTCGCTTTTAAAAAAGTCACTAGTTATGAGACTTTTTAAGGCCGTAAAATGTCAATTCAAGAAACATCGTGTCTCTGCATTTACTGATATTGCTTGTAAAGTTTACAATATCCTCAAATCCACTGGTAAATTTCACGAACCCCTATATGGTCTCCTCTTAATAATGTAGAGAAATGCATGATTCTCCGTACACGGAAAATATAAAGCTTGTCGTTTTGAAACCCTAAATGCAAGGGTAACGGCGTGTCAGTTTCAAAAGTATTCGGGATTTTGAAACGTTTTTAAAACTGGATTATAACCTTCCTTCAAACGTGCAATTTGAGGAAGACGTGATTTTCTATAAAATTAAGTAGAAGCGTAAATCTTTTTATCCCTGTTTTCTATAAAATATATTTGAATTTACAAGAGCATCAAAAATCAGTGAGACAATTTCATGTTGCCTAAGTAGTCATTTTTACCAAGTGTAATCTTTGCAGGCAGCCGAAAACAAGTTCGTTGGAAAGCCGACATCCTGAAGTCACTGAATTATTATGGGATTATGCTGCACGGCCATTAATTTTACTACCCTACTTAAGTAATCTTTTTGAGTCGAAAACGCATTTCAGAATTTCGGCTAACGTTTCATGAGTTAGCACATCTACTGTAGATGCTTCCGTTCGTCTGTTTTAATGTCCTATAAACTCGCTTTGTCGTTGGAAACTATCTTTGTTGTCACCCTTTTTCGTTCAAATTCTTGCCAAAACTTGCCATGAGAGCACTTCAGCCGAGAAGTGAAACTTAGGATGCAATACTAATGAATATTAGGCAAACTTTCCAGTTTGCAAGCCTTTTGCGCAGATAGGTCACACTCCCCCTTCATTCCTAAACGTAGCCCATTGCATTTGTCCCTGGCGCTCACCTTTTTGATGTAATTCTGGTTTCAGGCCCTTTTTCAGTCCGATTGGTTTGAAAGTAATCGTATTTCCCATTGTATCGCTTTTTCCATCATAAACTTTCAGCAAAAGTAAGCCTAAAGTCTTATTTATTAGGAAGAAAACTGCTAATCTGCATTCAGCCCGTTAGACCAACAGTAGGTTTCCTTGTGTGAATCAGAGGGCATGCACACAGCTTAAGTGCTACTTTGTTCCTGTCTGAATAATAGGTTGCCCATTTAGGGGGGGGGGAGGATTAGTATATAAACTGAAAAGAGAGGCTAGTCAAAATCACCCCTTTTCGCACACTTGCCGTTCCACCTGACCCTGTCTTAATCACCGCACTACCTCACTCCTTCTTTGATCCAGCTTCGTTTCGGTGAAACGCCAATTAAGCGAGCCGTGCCCTTGGCGTTGGCCCTCTGCTATCTCTCCAACCCTCAGCTAAAGGTATTGGACACGCTGAGTAAATTCAGTCACGATTCTGATCCCGAGTTGTGCTACAACTCAATCCTGGCCATGGGTCTCGTTGGCGCTGGTAAGTCTTCTCTACCAACTTTACTGCTGCGCATGTTTTTCGCGAGTTAACTCGACGTAGAACTGTTCTTTTGTCTGAGACTCCTAAAATTTTAAAAATTCGTGTCGTCTACAGTGCAAACCTAGATGATTGAGAGTCACTGGAGTTCAGATGCGTCAAGCGTCCAGAACGAGGACATTTATATACTGTTTGGAGCAGTAGTCTTCATTCACTCTCACCACCATGTGTTCTTACCGGTGAGAATCGTAGATTTTAGTCCCGCTCGTCAAGTGACTGTTTTGCCTCTGGCCTCCTGGAAGTTAATTCGAATGTTACCGATTTATGTCCCCTGATTTCTGTAGTGTCATGCTAGCAAGCGTTTCCAGCCCTTTTGAAGTCAGGTGCCTGTAGAAGGCTGATTAGGGTTAATCGCTTAGTTGCTGTCGTTTGTTTCTCTGTCGAGGTTGAAACTGCAGGCTATATGCTTCATTAGGCAATCACAAGAAACGTCTCCATTGCAGGCTTCGCCACTTGTCCGCGACTGACGTCTCACGTCGTTTTTTCAAGTTTTCCCGTTATTAGAAGACGCTGCTGGCTTATCTTTCTAATCACCTAGACCATAGCTGTCAGGCCATGATATGTAGGATGTATGCGGTCCCTGAAATCTGTGGACTCTTCCCAGTAGAGGACTAACTACCTGGGCAACTAACCGCCCTCCATAGTTGTGTGCGGATCACCCGTCCATCCACTTCACTTACGCCATCACCTCAGTCACTTTGCGCAGTCAGCTACGGGCCTGTCTCCAGTGCACTGTGACTCCAACCAAATTGAATGACGTGAACTGCCTGCGACAAGTTTTTCAAGGCATTGGCTCAGTCAGGCGCCCGCGGCTACGTAGTGGGTTAGACCATCATACAAAGCGTATGAGTATCGTCCAGTTTGCGTCTCCTTATTAGACTTCTAGAAGTCTTCTCGGCTTGATCGAGGAGTCCTTAACCATTTGTATCCTAGTGTTGGTCCTCCCTAAACCGATAATTCCCCCGATGCGTCGAGCCAAAACGGGAGCCTTAGTGGCTTTTAGTAGGCACTAGTCCGGGTACGCTGAGTTTAAGTGGGTACCTAACCATTGCCGCGCATGTGCACGACGCACGCCGGCCTATGCCACTGTGCCGAATTTACAACATTGGCCTGTTCATAACCCCAGACTGGCCACTCGCGCATGGAAGAGGGAAGAGGTGTGACCGACACAGAGTTGCCCTTTCTCATAGCAATATCAGCGTCCGTACCACGTAAAAAGCACCGATTCTTGTCCGATTCCTCACTATAATACATCTGACGCGCCACAGTCGTGTCTTGAGAGTTCCAACCGACAGCGTAGCTCAGCTCTTTTCAGGACCGACGGTCAGGCTGCGATGGCACTCATGTGAAATCCGAGAAGTTTAGTGCATGTTGTAAATCGCCTGTGGCACGCTTATTTAGGCTGTTTATCTGAGTCAAGTGTTGCATCCACGCCATCTCCGACCATCCTAAACCTGTCTTGTTGTTGGAGCACGGTGAGTGTGAGAGCGAGGTAGATGCAGCTTCTTTTTAAGTGACTTCGCACATCCGTCGCCTTTGTGCTCCATCCCCAACACTTGTGGGCACCACCGTTTGCGATGGAAAAACTACCGTGATCCAGTCCAATTCCACGCAGAACCCACTTTTTTGCCATATTTTAGGCCTAGGAGCACTTCAGCAAACGCACTTGCACTTCCGAAGTGCCTGCTGAGGCGGCTTTCGGCCGGTCTGACAGATAAGGCCATAACTGAGGTCAGCGGTATTTATCTACTCCCCAAACCGAAAATTTGTCGTTCCACTTACCCTATGCGGTGCGAACTCTCATTGTCAGAGGACGAAATATTGAGCAACAGCTGCATCGACGCTGACACTAGACTGTTCCGGATGTTTCCCTGCCGTACACTGGAAAGAGTAAAAGCGACGGGACGCTTCAACCCACGTAGCGTCGAGATCTGTTTTTGCCCGAGGACCCGATGCTGCACATCAGATGACTTAAAAACTACTGCAGTCGCTGTTTACGGTGGATACATTATTCTTTGTTTCAACTGCTCTAATGACGTTTGCCATGTTTAACGAAATGTGGCGGAATATTTCTCACCCCCTTCAGTAAGACTACTGTGTTTACCTCCACTCAATATCCGCCCCTTTAGTTATGGAGGTGACTTTGGTGCATAGTGTGTTTAAATCCGACGGGCTTACCTTCTAATGCATCGTTGTGGCTCAGATATTAAGCTGCTTCGAGCCAGCTCGGAAGTCCTCTCGGCCACATCACTTCCCTTATTTTCTGAATACTAGTCGCTCCTTTGTGCTCCGCCCTCATGTTCCCAGCCGATGATAACGCGGACCACTTATCTAACCCTTCAGTAAGGGGATTTTGCCACATTTAGCTATTGCATTTTCCTGTGACCTGCGAATTACAAGCATCCCTTCGAGAGTTCACCGACCTGTGCGGATCCTCAACTACGCAGTCTGACTTGAAGTTTCCTGCTTGCACAAGAAGCCTCGGTAGAGGCAAACAGAAGTTCATCTTTCGTTGCCTACTCAGGATCACCAATGGAAGCAACAGTTGAAAGTAGACCCTTCTGTATGACCTTTCTGTCGACCTCAATTATAGCCTGATCTGTCAGGTTGGGCGGAAAGCCGCCTCAACAGGCAAAACCCCGGTGATGTTGCTCTGCCCTCCATACAACACTACCTGAGTAACCCTTTCTAATCGGAAGCGAATTTCGGTCAACATTTCATGAGATAGGCCAGCAGTTTTACGTATTCCATCGCTTCGCATTCTACCCTCCGCAGCTTCTCGCCCATAGACCGCCAGTAATAATGGGTTGCTGCCCAAGCAAATCAACATGTCAGATCTTTTCACATGCTGACATAACGGGAAACGTTCCCCTTTTTCACTTATCGAATCGAGCCCAGCGTTGCTTTAGTTTTTGTTTTTCTTCGATCCAATACGGCTCCCTCAGGACGCACTTTTCAGCCGCACCTTTAGTGCTGTATTCAGTAATAATTTTAATCTTAACTGTTAGTTGCAATGTAGGTAAAAAAAAACCTACCTCACATTCACTATACTTCCGCCCAGGTACCAACAACGCCCGACTGGCCGCAATGCTTCGTCAGCTGGCTGTCTACCATGGACGCGATCCATTCAACCTCTTCCTGGTACGCCTAGCTCAGGGCCTTACCCATCTCGGCAAGGGTACTCTCACGCTGTCTCCATGGCACTCCGATCACTTCCTTCTTCGCCCCGTCAGTCTGGCCGGTGTGCTAACGCTGCTGGTGTCCTGTCTGGACATGCGCATGACTTTCATGGGTCGGAGCGATTATCTTATCTTCTACCTGACGCCCGCCATTCAGCCACGACTGCTGATGACCTTTGACAAGGACTTGAAACCCCTCACGGTAACCGTCCGTGTCGGTCAGGCGGTCGATGTGGTTGGTCAGGCCGGACGACCGAAGACAATCACCGGCTTTCAGACGCACACTACACCGGTTCTGCTGGCTCACGGGGAGCGGGCTGAGCTTGCCACGGATGAGTACGTACCAGCCACGAATCTGCCCCTGGAAGGTTTTGTCATTCTCGCAAAGAACCCTTCTTACGAGAAACCATCGGCGTAGTCGTTTATCCTAATTCCTTCAGTGGACGGGAAATATACAGCCCGGAAGTCTGATAAAGAATTTGTTATTTCCTTCCTGTATGTCTTTTACCTGCCGCTGCCGCTCTTCACCGAATAATAAAGTAGCCTTTGTAAAATAACTCTAGGGCCTTTAATCCTGTGATGGCGTCGGTGTATGTGTATTAGTTCGCAGACTCATTTTCCATCCGGGACAGTCGGTAAAGTCGACGCTTGGTGAAACTGTCCGCCTTCCCGGACGGTTTAATTCAGCATTCTTCGACAGTTACATGGCACTCCTTGACTTACTTGACCACAGAGCTTGTAAAGACAGGACTTTCTACTCGGGTAAACCTTTGTGCATATTTGTCACAACAGTGTTAACTCAATTTTCTTTTTGGGTGCGTCTACGCACAGGGCCGTTCGGGGGTAAATTCAGAAGGCCACTTTAGATGACGAACTTAATTTAATTTCCTCCGCTAGTAGTGTCACTGTTAGTCTCCCTGGCAATTTCTAAGGCCAGAATTATCATTTTCATGTGGGGACCTGAGCGCTATTTACCCCAGAATTTCTCCCCTAGGCTGTTCGTCTGAGTCGGATCCTGAAATACTTTCGAAGGTATGCGCTTATTAAGTCACCTTCAGTCTGAAAGACGTTAAATTTGTCGTGCAATGAACATCTCTTCTAAAATCCGCCACTTCGAGTGGCTGGCTGCATTTAGTACCTACCCAGTCCCGGACTGACAGTATGGCCGTTACTCAGCAGAAAGACGATTCACTAGCAGTTTGGGAAAAATCTTGGAGGAAATAAGCGACATTCCAGAATGCCAACGCCCACTGTGTTGAGTCGTTACGATGAGACTTTCCGGCATCCGACTGGGACATGGTCAGGCAATGCCGCTTTCCTCTGCCTCTAGTGTCACTTGCGTCGGCTGAGGTTCTTAAAGAGATGCGCCACAAACCGCACCGCGCCTTCTGTTTTTCGCTGTCGTCACTTACTTCCGGATGTTTCAGCAATTGACACTGAGGCCAGAGACCCTTGTAGTTGCTCCCCTGGCAGGTCTACGGATATTTTCCGAAGGACCTTAAAGCCGACAACCTGTTCGTCGACCACGTTACCTGTTTAGGCTAAGATGGAAGCTAAGGATACTTAGCCCTATGGCTAGCCTTAACTCGACCCTGGCCCTAGCGATTACTTCATCGTAACTTCGCGACTTGCCGCCAGTCTCCCCGTCGTGTGAGGTCACCCATATCTCGCTACTTAGCAAAATGAGTAGCAAAAGATGCGCGCGATTTTGTTTGTTGACTGGTGTGCGCCCGATTATTACCAATACTAGTGGCCTACTGTCCACATAGCCATTTTGGCGTCCTTGATTTCCACCATGTTCCCAATAGTAGTGGCCTGCTAGTTAATTTTACAAAGAGATGCACTGACAAAGGTGTCCAACCTGCATCGAAACAACAATCCGCCGGCAAGCTTAGCGGTTTTATTAGACAAATCATGCAATCTGCGTTGAATAACGGACCTCCAATCACGTGAATTTTCTGTCATAGTTCACCCACATTGATTAAGTCGCATATAAGGAGATGATGGAACTGGTGGAAAACAAAAGCGATAAGAGGTTGACACGTTTCTTCAGACGAAAATACGTGGTTGGAATGTTGTGCGACTACTGAAGTCGGGATTTGTCAAAAGTCTAAAAAGGCAAGGCACCCGCGCAGTCGAGGCAATCATTAAAAGTCTGCTCGAACTCGAACATCAGAAACCTCAATAGTCCCGATTGACACTCATTGGCTGTGGATTTCTGTTAATATCCACACATTAGTAAATATGTACAAAATACATATTTTGCGTAGTGACAAATGTGCGAATCCTGATAACCTTATAGACGGAGAATAGGAAGTGATTTTTAGGTTCAACTTTGTATCTCTCCTGCCTTTTGAACTCTCGGGCCCATCATCAAAGAAAAATGCAAATGTACAACTTGGTTGAAAGTCAGATCCATCCCGGCTGTGCTCTTGATGTTGTTATATTAGCACGTGCAAGGCTGTTAGGGTCATCGGTTCGGTGCCACGCCGCATGCGTTTGGCCAGAAATGCGATCAGTCTGTAGTGGTCTAACCTCGGTCGCATGTTGCAATTCGAGCCTCGCGACCACATGTACAGTAGGTGGGCTAACTCATAAAATACGTTTCCTTTCGAAAAGATCAATTAAGTAGGGTTGTAAAAGTAATCAGCCTTCTGCATAATTTTATTGTACTTCAGTTACCGTAGGATGCCGACATTCGAACGAACTTCTTTCCGGCTGCATGCCAAAATTATACTCCGTAAAAATGACTACTTACGTAGCATGAATTATTCTTCATTGATGTTCGATGCCCTTAGAAGTCCAATTATATTTCATGGAAGACATGCATAAAAATATTCTTTCTTCTGCTCATTCATTAGAAAATTACGCCTGCCAATTATATACTTGAAGGAAGAGTATCATTCGGTTTTCGAAAACTTTTCGAATTCCCGAATAATTTTGGACCCAACCTGCCGTTGCATTTGCATTCAGAGTTTCCAAACCGCAAGCCGTATATTTTCCGCATACGGAAAACCATTCATTTTTTTACGGTATCAAGAGGAGACCATGTGGGGTTCATAAATTTTAGCAGTGGATTTGAGCCGTATTGTTAACTTTACAAGCAAATTCACGGTATTGAAAAATCTCACAATGAGAAACTTTTTGAAAACCGAATTATACTCTTCCTTCGAGTACAAAGTTGGAAGATGACGTAATTTTCTACAGAATGAGCAAAAGAATGAATTTTTTATGCATATTTTCCGTGAAATGTGATGCAATTTTGAAGGGCATCGTAAATAAATGAGAAAAACACATGCCACTTAAGTAGTCATTTTTTGCAGGGTATAGTTTTTGCGTGCAGCTGAAAGGAAGTTCTTCCGAAAGCCGGCATCCTGAGGTAACTGAATTATAAAAATTTGCTGCATGATGATTAGTTTTACAACCCTACTTAAAATAATCTTTTCGAAACGAAAACGCATTTCGGAATTACGGCTGGCATTTCATGAGTTAGCCCGCCTACTGTAAGTGCGCATCAAATGCAGTTGAGCTCTTGGCCAATACCGGCTGTCCAAACTGGCCAGTCATCTTCGAGGCTGACTCGAAAATGAACTCGTTGAAGGCGTTGGTCGACCGACCCACTGTCTCACGCTCTCGAGCGTGTCCTCATCTGACTGCCAACCCCTACCAACTGCTTCTCAAACTGTTCTGTACCGAATACAACATCCTCCCAACTGGCGTCCCAATTATCTTTCCGTTTGGGACTGAATCCTAAAGTCGTAGTGGCTCCGTTATGCCTGTGGCTTAAGCTGCCACAATAGGTCCATTATTGCGGTGCGGCCGAAATCGAAGTTGTGCCCTGGAAGCGATGACCAGGCGGCCACCAGGGCGGGTTTATCTTTTCTGTGCAAAGTACACCGCAGGTGGATTCCACTGCAGTAAGCAGTTTCCATTGGTATAGTGTCGCAACTCCGAAGGCGACATTTGCTTGACGAAATGCGCCACAGAAAAGTGATTATGCCGTTGAGCCATTGTCGCCCTCCTTGGGGTGAAGGTTCAGAGCAATTAATTTCTTGTATTTAACTGAAGGCCCAAGCGACAATAAACCCTGGGACTAAAGTCCGGTTTCTTCAGCTTATGGGTTGACGTGGGGCTTTACTACCATGGCGCTTCAGATTCGCAAACTCGTCAGAGACAGTAAATGTTTGAGAGGATAGAAGTGCAGGGGTACAGCATCCAGTATATGCAATTGCTATGAAACCCCATATCTACTAAAATTAGAACTACTATTATCTCAGAATGCACGCAAAATACTCCCCCAGCCGAATACGTTGTACTGCGTGAACCTAAAATGTCAAAAAACTATTTGTGTCGTGTCTGTGGACAGGAAGCGATTCACTATTTTATTATACAAACCTAACAACCGTCAGAAAGCCATAAACCTACTACCAGCTAATCTCAATCCCAGAAAAACACTGACAGGCAACATTTGCGCGCGCTATTGACAGCGCCCGCAACATGATGAGAACGTAAGTAATAGGCTTTGTCTGTTTTCAAAATTTTTAGAAGCTGCCCAAAGGGCGCACTTCCCGGACGCCGACGCTTTTAATTTTTCTACTGCAGCCGTAGCCACCACATCTAGCATTCGTGCAAGCTCTACAAGGCATGAGGTCGCAGTCAACGTTCAGCATAGATTTCCGACCAAGACCCTTAAATATCCTTCTGAAAGTGCAGTTTCTGCTTCAGAGAAAGTCATTTTTTCGGGGTGTACATTCGGAAGCATCTTTCAACTGGGCTACGAACTGAAGGATAGAGACAAGACAGTGAAAACCGTAACTAAAAGAGCGAGGGAGCGACGATGAAACAGGCCTCAAAACAAGAGGTGGACACATAAGTTAAGTTAGATGAACCTTTTTGGCTGATGACAGTCATAATGATAGCTGACTCAGCATAAGGATGCCCATTTTTAGGCTATTACGAGTACTAGTGGTCACTGTTTAGGAATCTACTACAGAAACTATGACAGTGTCTTCAACAAGATGTATGAGCTCAAATTAGTCTCTGAGCAAAAACCCACATAAATGCATTGAAAGACGTCTGATTGACTGGCGAAACAATAAGTAGTGAAATCAGTGTTGGAGGCTACCGAATGCTCCGTTGTGACAGAATTCAGCTAAAAGGTGGACATGTCGGAATCCGCATATCCAATGAAATTTCGTACAGTCAGTGGGAAATATCCGGGACAATATATTGCGGCGACGGAAAGCCATCTGATGTACACACTCTCCGTAAGTCACTTGTGAGTGAGATAAAATGTCTTGAGAAAGCAGTAATCCAGTGCGAGAATATTAGCCAGCTAGCTCGCTCTCGCGTGCTCGCCGTAATCCGGGACGCCACCGCTAGCGCTTTTGTTAAGTAAGTGATACATATGAATGCGTA